GTGGGCGAGAACAGAGGACAGGCCAACACTTACAAGCAGAGCCACCAGACGCTTCTTAGCACAGGGAGGCAGGTTCAATGGGCGGGGGCCTGGCTTTCTCAGCTGAGGTCCCCGACACTGTGGGGCAGAACTACCTCAGGGAAAACCCCCAATGCTTTCAAAATATTGCAAGAAATTAAAAAGACCCTTCCCAACCCCCTTCCTGCCCCCTCTTACACCCCAGAGGAAATCAACTAATGGCAAAAAAAAAAGTATTCAAACAAAATAGGTTATGGTTTCTTTATTTACAAGTCTTTTGAACACCATCCCTGTATGAAGCGTACATTCAAATATTCTTAGCAGTGAGTGAGTTTAACCGTGGAACACTGTAAACAGATAGAGCCTTTAAATATTTTCATCATCTTTTTCTCTCTCTACATTGCATCTTTTAAAATTCGCTTTGGTTCCTGCAGGGAAATATATATATAATATAATATTTATCTTTTAAAATAATTCCAAATCACTCTTGAGCTCTTGGAAGGTCGCTGGAAGCTTCCAAGCTCGGTTCCGGGGCCTTGAAGGGTAGAGTGTGGCGCTGGAACCGGGTGTTTTGGGGGACTTGCGCCCCTCATAGCTGAGGACTGCTGGTCGGGCCGGCTCCTCTGCTGAGCAAATCCAAGCTTCCATTAAGTGTGGCAGAAGCTTTGCCAAGCTGCTGCACTCCACAGGCATTTCCTGCAGAGATGTAGGGGCCAGCGCCTGGGCACAGCCTCTCTGCTTTTTGATGTCTTCCACCTTGGGGAATAGAATACTCTGCAAGCAGGCTTTAGGCCTGCCTGAGCGGAGGCCAGGGCGAAGACCCTCTTAGCTAGGAAAAACTAGGTGGGCTGCAGGAGGCAACTGCTAAGAAGCTCAGGATTGAGACAGTGCGGTGAGTGGCTAGGAGGAGTGGAGGGCCACTAATGCCACCTGGAATCGTAGGGTTTTTTGTTTTCCCTCAAGGATCAGCAGCCCTCTCCCACCGCACAGCCACCTTAGTCCAGTCACCTTTCATGCCGGCTCTGGAGAGCAGCCCCATTTTGGACATCTAGGCGCCCTCCCCTTTTCTCCTGCTCCTGTCCCCAAGCTGAACTGGTTTTGGAGATGGACTAGCTTCTTGATGCCTGGGGAGTGGACAGGCTCCAAGTGGAGGGTCCTGGGTGGGGGTCGATCTCCAAGGGGCCTGGCAGGGGGCCCAGTCCCTGGTGGAGACCACACCCAGCCTGAAGCTCCGCAGTCTCCAAGAATGAACCACCAGGGGTCCCAAACCATTCATCCTAGTTGATGCACAATTCTCTGAATCCAATCATTGTTAGGAATCTTAACCACAGATGCCCAAGAGAGTCCCGGGCCGCCTCCTTGGAGGCTATCTCCCTGTAGTGGCCCCTCTCTTGCACACCTCCTCTCTTCCAAAGTCACTGTGTGGTGTGCCTTGACCTGGTCAAGGGCAAAATCTGCATATAATCTCACGCGTATGAAGCCCCCCACCCGATTCCAGCTGGCTGGAACCTTAGAGGAGTGGGTTGGCCGAGTAATACTGTAACCGGTCTCTGTTAATTTTTTTTTCCTTCATTCTTCTATTCTGAAACCAGATTTTGACTTGACGGTCGGTGAGGTTGAGCATGCGAGAGAGCTGCAGGCGCTTCTCTTTGTTGATGTACACGCTGAAGAAGAACTCCCGCTCCAGCTCCCGGATCTGGTACTTGGTGTAGGGGCAGCGCTTTTTTCGGGTGCGCTGGCCACCTGTGGAGGGAGGAGGAAGAGGCAGGGAGTGAGCCAGGTGTGGGGGCTGCAACCCACCCCAGAGCCCCCAGAGGAGGAAAGGGGCTGGCCCCAGGGACTGGAAGCCCTGCCCAAGCCCCTTCAGGGTCTCCCCAGACCCCTATCTTCAGGCTTCTCCTGTGGTCTGGGGACTGGATGCAGGCGGAGGCTCAGCCCCAGATAAAAGCCAGCTCCCTAGATAGGCCCCCAGGGAGGCTGCTGAGGCTGCCTCCAGAGCAGAACGAGGGCTCCTCACAGCAACAGGCAAGTTTGAGCCGGAGGCCGCTTTCAAAGCAGCCAAGTGGGGGTTGCGGGCCGCCTCCAGCCTGGCCAGACTAAACAAACAGCCACCCAAGGACATTTCACCTTCCAGCACCTGGTGGCCGGTTGGGAGGAGGCTGTAAAGGCAGCCGGGGCCCTAGGCTTCCCGCTCATTAACATCTGGGGCGGCTGCCGGTTCTTTGTCAGCCCGAGTCCCGGCCCTCAGCTCCTGGCTCCTGGGCCAGCCTCCTGGCCTCCAGGTCAGGAGAAGGCGGTGGGAGCCCCTACCCTGGGCCTTCTCAGCCCAAGGCCACACAGCCATCTGGTCCCCCCAGGGCAGGGCTGCTTGCTTAGATGGGGCGGAGGGAAGAGGGGTTCCCCAAGCGTCGGGAGGGCAGGCTCCACCGGCTCCCCCTTTGGGGAAACCTCCATGGGACCTAAAGAAAAACCCGCTTTTGACAGACCAAACAGCGATTGTGAGTAACAAGCGGCTGGACAGGAGGCGGCACGTAATTGCCACCGCGCAGGAGGAAAATGGCTTCCTTTGGACAAAAAGGCCAACTTTGGGTTAATTTGTTTCTGTTAATATATTGCTCGAGCTAAGCGGGCTATTTTATCAGTGCAACACGCTTCCCGCGCCATCGTTAAACAGCGACGCCTTTGAATCCCGGCCCGGACTGGCGAGCCGGCGCAACACATGGTTTTTATAAAAATCTCCGGATTACCTCGCTATCAAAGGCTCCCGGAGCCCTCGCAGGGGGAATTTACAGGCGCCCACCTCCGGCTCCGCAGCCCCTGCTGGCCCCGCGCGGGGTCGAGCTGCCGGGCTTGGGCGCGGAGCAGGGGAAAAAGGGAAAAAAGGGAGGGTGTTTTCTCGCAGGCATGCCTGGGCCGGTGGGTATTTCACGGCCAATTTCAGCACTCGCCACGTGATCCCGCCTTTTATAACGAAGTTTTGTTGGGGGAAACCTAAAGGCCCTTCATAAACCTTATATGCTTATAAAACAGCATATAAAAATTTAACAGCGGCGCTGCGCTAGGTTTCCAGCTCCCCTCTCCTAAGGCGCAGGGCCCTGCCTTTATACGTACTGGAGCCGCCGGCCCTGTCCTCAGTGTGGCCGGAAGACGACTCGGGGCTGCTGCTGCTCTCGGGGCGCCTCCTCCCCTCCTTCTCCTCCG